AAAAGGACCAATGCAAACATTTTCCATCAGTTATTTGCATCAGATGATTTGAACCAAGTTCAAATCTGACATGATATGACTTCTCCCACCGGACCAGCCATCGCCATGGTGAACTTCCAGCTCTATTGTGGCAAAGTTGTTCTTTTCCTCAATTTGGCCATGGATAAGTAGAGAAACCTCACTCATAAATGGTACAAATTCCCATGGATTATTTCCGACAGTGAAGGATCAGCATGAGATTTGTCTGGTGAAGAATAAAGCTCCATCAGGAGTGATATTGTCAGGGGTGTGTTGCAGCAATATTCGTGGCTTCTTCCAGAAGAAGAGAGGGAAACTCATTTTTGCCAAGGCGGCGTGCTTGGTCCTCAGAGAGAAAAGGGAAATGCAGGTCTCATTGCAAATTAAAGGCCCAGGAATGGGACCCAAATGTTCCAGGCGATATTGTTCTTGGTAATAGTGAATTGCACATGCCTTGCACACCCCCAAACACCAAAGTTCCCCAGAACTTCTCAGACAGGGACTTGTTAACTGCCCTGAAGAGGTGAAGGTGGAGGTGCACAGGCTTATCTTGTCACTGATAGTCACTGGGGAGCTCGAGTACCATTGATGTCAACTGGAGCCATTGGAGAGCAGGGATGAGGTGTTTGACTCTTGCTCCCGGGCAGGGAGGGCACTGAAAATCGGTGGTCCCTTTTGAAAGATTTTGCCAGAGTAACATCAGAACAAGGACCAAAATGGGAATGGGAACCCAGGAGTCTTGGAAATTAGTTTTCTCCTCTAGTCACTAAACCATACTGTTAGAGAGAGCTGCATCGTGTCTTTACATGATAAAAACTGTGAGAAAGAGAAATTGTACTAAATTGTCCTAAATCTCCTTCATTTACTGTCTTCACATCTCAACACATTCAGCTGGAAGGTCTCGCTGGGTGACCTAAGAGAGAAGTGGCTTGTTCTCAAAAACAAAGCATCAGCTGAAATTCAGGTTGCATGGATGTAAAGTGAGGTGAAGGGGGGAAAACCAGTTTTATATGAGCATATGCAGTAACAAGCTCTTAAATACCTACAGGAAGGAACTCTTTGTGTTCAGCAGCTGCCAGGAAAAGCAAATCAAATGGTAGAAAAGAGAAAATGGGCTACAGAATGGCATTATGCCATTGTATAAACACATGGTTCATTTTTGTCTTTGCTACAGCGTGTGGTTCTGGTCTCTCCACCTCAGAGGTGCAGAGGAACGAACAAGTGTGCTGTGTAGACTGACATCTGACTGCAAACCAGTAACTGGATGGGGGCTGGAGAAGCCTCAATGAGGAAAGAGTATGACAGACGGCAACAAATACAGAGATGGCACAGAGGGGTAGAGGCAGAGTGCAAGAATTAGGGGGCACTAAGCAAAACTAACTGTCAACGGCATGAAAACAACCTTCCCAGAGTCCTTGTTTTTGAAAGACTTGTGTGCAGGCAGACAAGAATTGGGGCCAGATAGGAGGAGTGGAGCATCTTTATTTGTATTAGGGGGCCAACTGGGCCCATATGTGATTGTGTCACATATTTTATTTATGATTTGCGTCACTGGCTCCAAGCTCACTGCACGTGAGGCAGCAAATGCTGGGGCAGCAGGATGTTCATGCACTGTTCAACGTGCAGCATTGTCAGTGGGGTTTCCAGGAGATAAGACTCCCTGTGGACTCAGACAGAGAAGAGTCTGGGTTCTGACCTCATTCGCTCTAACTTAAGAGATTCCCTGCTGTGTGATCAAAGTAAAACTACATAGAGGAGACTGAGGGGTGCCCTCATTCATGGGGATCAATTTGTAAAGGGCAAGTGTCAGGAGGAAGGAGCCAGGCTCTGCTCTGGGATGTCCAGTGCCAGGACAAGGGGCAATGGTCCCAAGCTGGAGCACAGGAGGTTCAAGCTGAAGATGAGGACAAACTTTGTCAGTGTGAGGGTGGCAGAGCATGGCCCAGGCTGCCCAGAGAGGTTGTGGAGTCTCCTTCTCTGCAGACACCCAAAGCCCTGGCCGTGTTCCTGTGTGACTGCTCTGGTGATCCTGCTCTGGGGGGGTTGGACTGGATGAGCTTTTGAGGTCCCTTCCAGCTCCTAATGTTCTGTGATTCTGTGATATCCAAAGGCTTTCTCTGTCCAAGTCCATCGTTGCAGGGCTACAGAGCAAACCTGCAGCCTGGCCTGTGTAGAAGAGGGGACCCTGACTTTGTGTCCCAGCCCCCTTCTGTCACCTCCGCTGAGAGCGCTCAGAGGTGACACCAGTGGAGAAGGGGATTGCAGCTGTGTCAGAGATTGCAGCAGGAAGGACACATTCGCGGTGTTGGGGGAATTCCTGGCTACGGTTCCCAAATTTGTCCGTGTGAGATTTTACTGCAGGACTGATGGACACCTCTGGGTCTGAAAGAGGTGCTGTGGGTCCTGGTCTGGGAGCTGACTTTCTGCTGGTTTCAGCCAACAGAGGAGATGAGGGGCACTGACGAGAACTGCTGTCGTGCACCTTATCAGCCTGCCAGCACAGCAGCATGGGGGTTTCAGATGCTCACTTCTAAATGAAAAATTCTTTATGCTCAAGAAAAAAGATGCTTTTTGTAAAAACCCCTTTGCCTCATGTAAATCATTAGCTGAAAAATATTCAGGACAATTTCCACTTGTAGATGCTAAGACATATTCTGTCATACCCAGAGCTAAGACCTGCAGTATCCTGTTCCTATGAGCCACCCTGATCAAACAAGCCAACATCACAGCACATGAGGCCGTTGTTATCAAAGCTGGGGAAAGGATGGTGCCAATTACCGATATTCATAGATTTCACGATGAGTGATTTACATGAGGCTCTGCTTACTGATCACCCTGCAGCCGTAGTTAAAACCCTGCAGCAGCAATAGATGGGAATAGGAATGGGAATTCCTCGATGGAGGTGTAATTTATTAGCAGAGACTGAATCCCTTAACTTGTTCCAGATGAGGGTTGTATGTCCTGATGTTGGTGCTTTGCGCAGGGTGGTCACCGATGCCTCTCCCAAAGGCCCAGGGTGTGTGGAGGGGGAGAAGCACATCCCTGCACCTGGGAAGGTCACGTCCTCAAGCCGTGGTCAGCCACATCCATGAGCATCAATCAGAGGTACAGGAGAGGCTGCCCTGTGCTCCTCCACACCTGGCTCTGCTCCCCACGGGCTCATTTGACCCCTCTCAGGCTGGACGTTCATGGTAGCAGCCAGGTCCTCTCAATCTATGTGCAAATTCAGACGATTGCAGAGGAATGCACATAGACATCATCTGCAATCTGGCAGGGAAAGTCTCCTTGCAAACTCTGCTGCCCAGCTCTTCTGGATTTTGGGAGCGTTTGCTCCTCGGGACGGGGTGTGGGTGTGAAGCAGGGCAGTGTCCCTGGTAGGGGCGCAGGGTGATGTTCCACTGGCTGTGCTGACAGGGGTGCGCATGGGGGAACAGCAGAGATTTATGGGGCTGGTTCTGCCAAACACTTGTGATCCCACAAAAATGCAGCGCCGTGTCCCGCAGCGGCTGGCAGGCTCACACATGTGTTCCCTCCCGGGCGTCTGTGGTGTGACATTGTTCTCTCCCTTGCGACCTAAGGGTCAATGACTTTTATTTCTTGAGCTTGCCTCCTTAATTAAGGAGCTGCTTCTCACCCAAAGTACGGGATAAGCCAGAAGGAAAGCAGCATGCTTTTGAGACTGAAATAATATCCCGAATGCCAGCTCACCCTCCGTGCTAGCTATTAAAGCTGAATGAAGCAGTTGCGTTATGATGGTCATGGAGCCTTGTAGAATGAGCACTACTGTGGGTGAAAACTACTTATTTGACATTTCTCAAGTTGCTTTTAGCATTTCTCCCAAATAAGCCTTGATGCTTTGTCTAAACAGCTGAAGCTGATGCTTAATAAAACTCTGGACTGTGCTTTGTCCGAGCACTTTCTATGCTGGATGGCTTCAGTAAACACTTTACATTTTGAAAGAATTGCTAAACTTTCACTAAGGCTCCACACGTCGAGGTTGCTTAATATTCTGGTGTCAATACATATTACCAAACTGAAAGGTAGCATTTCATGTAGATACAGGAGCTCTAAAGTAGTTGGCAATCACACCTGAGCTTGCTAATCAACACCAAAAAAGTAATGACTAGCTAATTTGCACTTCCTTTTAAAAGCCAGATAATACACAATCCCCCGCTGATAGAAAGGATGCACCTCCTGCCAAAGACATCAGTTTGCTTTCTGATTGCAGCTGCAGTGTTTTTGTGTGTCTCTCTGCCCGTGGAGTAAATGTTTCCCTCCAGGGTATCACGGACATGAACCAGGTATCTCCTGAGAGCAGCACATTGCCCTGAACGCTGTCAGTAAAGTGTTCATAATGCAAACTGCACAACAGCATCACCACGGGGCTGTGGGCATTGCGAAGAACAGTTGATCTGCATCTATAGCACAGTCATGCAAACAGCCCCGCACAGACTTGGACAAGGTGTTGAGAGCCTTTGTTCAAAATCATATTTGGTCAAAAAGGTTTCTTAGCATGTTCAAAAACCGAAATAATAGTATTGCTTTTTGACCTGTCTGCAAGTTGTGGCAATTTTTCTTTTGCATGTTGATAGAAATTCCTGTAGTTTTAACACAGGGATTGGAGGGGGAAATAGAAATGAGAAGCTTTTTGTTGCTTGAATCTTCAAGGGGAAAAAAATCCGCTTTACTGCTTTTTTTTTTTTATAATGCAAAGCATTTTTAGAATGATATCGGGAAGCTTTTTGACTCTCCAGTGAAAAGTGGGAAAAATATGGAAAAAAGAGGCAAATTTAGCATTTCTTATCAAATGGATGGGATTCCTTGACTCCTCTGAGCAAAAACCTCTGCAGTCAAAAGCTGCTCCTGGGGAGCGACCAATGTTTTCCCAGGGAGGAGGACCCCGTTTGTCAGGCATGGTCAGCACCTTGTCCCAGCCGGAGGACACCACGGCTGCGAGGGGGTAAGGAAGGGAGAGGGCTTACAGCACCACGAGGCTGCTGAGGTTCTGGAAGGCGAAATCGGGAATGTGCCAGATCTGGTTGAGCGCCAGGGTCATGGCTTGCAGCGCCGGCAGATGGTTCAGGGCTCGGACAGGGATCTCGGTCAGGGCGTTATCGTCCAGCCACAGGTGACGCAGTGAGAGCAGCCCCTCAAAGCTCTTTTCGGGCACCACGGAGATGAGGTTTGCATCCAGGCGTCTGGGTGGGAGAGAAACAGGGTGGGGATCAGTGAGAGACGGGTCTAGCGTTGCTTTATGTGCCCGCAATGTTACGCAAAGGGAGTTTTGGTGCCAAGGCGGGATGGATTGATGGCCAGGGAGATTGGATTAGGCTGTAAATAGTGATTAGCATAAGGAGGTCTCGGTGCACGGCTCCCGCCTGTGCTCGGAGATGTCTGACCGCCGCCAAGGATGATCCCTTCTTGATGGCCACTCCGTGCTGCCAGTGGATGGCAGCTTCATAAACAGCGTGGTTGGGTGAATCCTTTCCCATGGACTCACCGGATGGACACTGGCCAGCTGTGGCTTGCAGGTCCCCCCCTTGAATGGAGCATCAAAGCTGCATCCCCTGAGGCCAGGCTTGCTGTGGATCTGCCTGAGCCCATCTGTGGAGGCACAGCCCTGTTTGGGGCACCCCACAGCCCTGTCTGGGGCACCCCACAGCCCTGTTTGGGACACCCCGCAGCCCTGTCTGGGACACCCCACAGCCCTGTTTGGGACACCCCACAGCCCTGTTTGGGGTACCCCACCGCCCGCGCAGACCCGCTGCTGCGGGAGGCAAAGGGCAGACAAACCATCTGGCCAAAGCCCCATTCCCCAGGAAAAGGATTCGTCTGGAAATGTGAAATATGTGGCAACCCTGCTTGGGCTCCTGTGTTTGGTCCCAACAGCCAGAGCTACCTGCAAAGCACAGCGAGCGAGTCTGACCATATGTCATGGTGCAGGAATTAACCTGTGCTCCCTCCACTGCACATGTTCAGGCCTTTCTTTCTCCTTGGTTTGCCAATTGCTATTTTCTTTTTCTTTATCATAATGGAAACCTTAAGGCGGTTGAATTCGAAGTTTAATTTGGTGAGAAACTTTAATTTTTAAGACTTGGTTTTGTTCCAAAATAGAATGAGAAGCCAAAAAATACGAAGCTCATTATGAAGAAAAATTAAAAAACTAGATTTGGAAATCATCTCATTCAATAATGGTGAGCAGGATACGATGTGTTATCTGTAGGTTTAAAAATCAAAATATAAGAGGAAAACACTTCAGATCTGGATGAAGTACCAGGAACCAATTATACCAAGGAGAAAAAAAATTCTGATTTCCATCCATGGCCAACAGATCTTACTTTACTTTTCCAAGCTATCTAAAGGAAAGATCTCTAAAGTCAAATTGCAAAGAGAAAGCAGTTTGTCTCTTATCAAAGCATGAGAGAAGGAAGTTAACAGAATTGTCATGGCCCAGCCCTCAAATTAATGATCCTTCTTAAAGGAATGTGGTATAGAAATCAGTATTTTTGTCTACATAAAGTAATATTTTTGATGAAAGGTGGACACTGAAGCAGACCCCAGACTCTGTTTCCCCCTGGCACCAGACCCTTGTCCAGAAATGGGCAGACACTTCCTAATTTCCAAATCACTTCCCTCAATAAACTCCTGGTCTGCAGGAGGAGACCCCATCATGTGCATGGGGCAGGGGAGATCCCAGGTGTGAGCTGTGGTCTCTGCAATGGGGCAGGGTGGTGTTTCGTGGGTGAAATTCGCAGGTGATCCTGGAAACAGAACTCTTCCTATGCCACATAGAACAGCGTTTCCTACCCTGGATGGCCATTTGTACCTGGTCGAGAAGTGCAGCCAAACCTTCCTGAGATCTCCCTCGGACAGCTGCCCTTTAAATGCAGCGTACAAGTCTCAACACAACATCACTTCAGACTGAAATGATACCCCAGGCTGCATTAAATACCGATCTCATTACTCCCATTTTGCCACATCAATGTGTTTTTCCAAATTGCAATGCACTTGCGTTGCTGCAAAGCGGCGTTTGCTGGTGCACGGCTGCTCAGTGGCAGGTTTTCATGACAAAAGCACATCACACCCACAGCTCCGCTCCCGCAGGATTTGCATCTTTGCTGGGTATTTTCCTCTTGGAGAGGGTGGGCAAGTTGCAAGTTCTGCCTCAATTTTCCTCCTGTCACCAAGACTACAAACAACTCAGAGCATAGCGCCATTCATCTTCCTGAGAAGACAAATCCAAAGAATAATGAGGAGAAAAGCAAACCCTGCAGCAGCACAGTGCAAGATTAAAGACTCTGAAAATCTTCATCAGAATGTTCTGAGACAGACAAGAACTTTTTGAACAAAATTAAAACTTGTGTGGGTAATGTTAATCTTCACTTAATTTTTCCAATCCTTCTTCAGCATAAGAGTTCTGTTAGTTTTTGGCTTGATAATCTTACTTTTCTTAGAGACATTCTTTCATCCAAATCCCTATATGTTTACTGAAAATCATTTGAAAGTGAATACTCTGTTTTGAGTTTAATCAATTGAAGAACAGACAATGAAAATATCCATTGAGAATCATTTTTCAAAACCAAATTAAGCTTTCAGAAATGGAGATGCTAAAGCAGAGCCAAGGGCTGGGACACCATGGGGATGGTTCATGGCAAGGGAGCAAGGTGGCCCCGGGACCATCCATGCTTTGGCCATGAACTCCTGGGTGCAGCCACAGATGGGAGCCACGAGGGAGTTTGGCTTCAGTGTGACAGTAGCCCAGGTCTTGGAGAAACCAGTGACACAGATTTTACTATTTAGCATATGATCAGGAAAGGCATCTTTTCACATCCATGGAACATAGGTCCATGAGAAGAGTGCCAGTGAGGTAGCATGGGTCCTTGGTGGATTTTTTTTGAGATACTCAGACACTTCCCTGTCTTTGTGGATCCCGATGGTTAGTACAGGGGCAATAATTGAGACTCATTTGAGGAGCTTGTTAGCGCTCCTGGATGGCCACGAGCTTCGGATGTGCAGCAGCTCCAAGCCAGGCTCTGCTCCATGAATCACAGAATATTAGGAGTTGGAAGGGACCTCGAAAGATCCCCCAGTCCAACCCCTGCCAGAGCAGGATCACCCAGACTGGGTCACACAGGAACATGTCCAGAAGAGTCTTGAATGTCTCCAGAGAAGGAGACTCCACAACCTCTCTGGGCAGCCTGGGCCATTCTCTGTCAACCTTACAGTAAAAAAGTTTTTCCTTATGTTCAGGTTGAACCTCCTGTGCTCCAGCTTGGGACCATTGCCCCTTGTCCTGGCATTGGACATCACTGAGCAGAGCCTGGCTCCTTCCTCCTGACACTCGTCCTTTACAAACTTCTTATAAACATTAATGAGGGCACCCCTCAGTCTCCTCTGCTCCAAGCTCAAGAGCCCCAGCTCCCTCAGCCGCTCCTCAGCAGGAGATGCTCCACTCCCTCCATCATCTCTGTGGCTCTGCTGGACTCTTTCAAGCAGTTCCTGTCCTTCTTGAAGTGAGGGCCCAGAACTGGACACAACATTGCAGATGTGGTCTGAGCAGGGCAAGGTAGAGGGGAAGGAGAACCTCTCTGCCCTACAACCACCCCCCTCCTGATACACCCCAGGATGGCATTGGCCTTCTTGGCCGCAAGGGCACATCGCTGCCTCATGGTCATCCTGCTGGCCACCAGGACCCCCAGGTCCTTTTCTGCCTGGCAGCTCCAGCCACTCGTCCCCAAGCCTGTAGAGCTGCATGGGGTTATTGTGACCGAAATGCAGGACCCAGCACTTGGCCTTGTTGAAGCTCATACAATTTGCCTCAGCCCATTGATTCACTGAGCCACACCTCAACAAGAGGTCACCTCTGCAGGACTAAAATGAACCCCAATCTTCTGTCTCTTCACCTCCGCAGGGGCTGCCTGCTGGCAACGTGGCATCTTCGGGTGAGTGTGACCATGTCCACGAGACGCTATTTGGAGAACAACGTGCTTGGGGAGTGTTGGTGAGCTCTGGTCACTTAATTGCTGCCCTGATCTGCTCCAGATTCTGAAAATCAGGCACCAGCCAAATTCGTCAGTGGAGTGAAAACTGCTGCTTGCAATGAGCTGGGAAGGGCCTGAGCTACCTCAGAAACAGCAGCATGATTGGACTACAGCACAGCAAGATGCCTGGAGCCAGGGGAGTTAAAATTGGGAAGAAGGAAATGTCCAGGTGATGGCACATCACCTGCAGCCTGATGGGCAGGATTCCTTATGTGCCTTTGCAGCATGGACAAGGGAGCAGGGAACATGGACCAAATGATGGCTGCGCTCCTGGTACCAAAGGGTTTAATTGCTCCTCAGGGAGCTGCTGGCTCTTTCTGGAATAGAGGTGCATTCTTTCTAATAAAAGCTGTGCATGTAAGGATTGCTAATTGCTATGGCTTTCAGACAGCTCTCCACTCTCTTCTGGAAGAAGAAAAGCTGAAGTTCTTGGCACCAAGTCATTAGTAATTATATCAATTATACTAAACAAAAACCAACCCAACAGTTCTCTCCTTTCTTCAGTGTGCAACTCTGGCTCTGTAAGTGTTTTGTGTTATGATTTATACCTACGATAATTGGGCTGATTAGTGGGTAACTGGGACAGCGCAGGCTGGGGCTGGCTCCTCACACCTTCCACAGAGACGTTTTAATCTTTATTTCACCAAATCACTCAGTTGGTTTTCCCTTCAAGCATTAACCCATTTGCTGCTTACAGAGGAAGAGATCTCTTTCATGGAGCTGCTGGATGGCTTGGACTTCATCTCACACCTCTGTTGAGCAGTGCTGTAGGTCTGGAGAGCAGATGAGACCCACAGCAGTCTCCAGATGTCTGCACGGACAAGGTTTCCCAGTGGCTCCAGAGACTCAAGCAAGGCACTTTCTAGCATTGTCTTGGCCATTGCAGGCAAAATGAACTGATTTTAGGTGGGACATTCAGGCACATGAAAAACACCAGCTGCTTGAAAGTCTCAGCTTCTGGTTTTAGATCTGCATCTACTGCTGATAGTTATGGGGCATTTATAGGGCTTCACTATGACACTTTGTCTAAAGTTCTAAAAGTGCCTGGAATCACCTCAGATTTTACTCCATTTTCTGGTTCAGGGACTACAGTGATGGGGAGAGGGGAGCTGCCTGGAAAGAACATCAAAAGTCCCTTGGCTTTTGGTCTGAAACAT